TGTAATGAGACCCTGACTCAGAATAAAAAACAAGGGCTGGGGGTGTAGCTCAGGGTAGAACACCTGCCTAGCATGTGTGAGGTCCTGGGTTCAATCCCCAGCATTGAAGAAAAAAAAAAAACAAAGAGTCATGTAAATAGCAGTGGGAAGAATCATGTAGAAACTGCTGCACACCAGCCTTCCTCTTTCCCAGACTCCCTTCCTATCCCACCCCTGTCTCCTCCCTCCTGTGAAAGTCACTAAATGACACTTATTCCTACTCCACCCCAGGCTTCATTCCCAGCCTCCCCATGTGGAAGGGGCTCTTGTTGTTCCCACTTACAGTTGGATAAACTGAGGCACAGAGAAGCCAAGTCACCTGCCCCCAAGGTTACTGGTAGGACAGGGCTTAAATCAGATGTGGGGCCAGCATGGAGTGTTATGAATTGCCCTGTGACCACCCCCCACAACACACACAACAGCCCACACCACAGCCTGGTAAAGCAGGGGGTCTGCTGTACCCCTTGTTCAGACTGGGCAGCTGAAGCCTAGGGAGAGGCTGTTAGCAGAAATAAGTAGAGGAACTGGGGGTCCAAATGAAAATGTGAAAACTGAGGAAGAATGCAGCCATTAGCCCCATTCCATCCCTCCCCCCCCCTCCTTCTCAGGAAGAGAAGTTACAGATGGGCCATACCTGAGCCCATCCTTTAGGCCAGGCCCTGCCTAGATGTTCCACTCAGGGTCTCTGGTCCACCTTGACCCTGCAGGGAAGGCAGCTGCCACAAACCGATGGGTGAAGACATTGAGGCTCCCAGGGCCTTGAAGCAGTGGAGCTGGGAGTCCAGCCAATCTGCCAGGCTCCAGACCCTGGATTCTTCTCAAACTGCAGCATTACTTATTTATGCATCAAGAGAGCACAGAGGGTGGGGAAATAGCCAGGGACAAGTTACTTACAGGGTAGGACTTCTGGAGCCAGGACCTCTGCAGTTGGGGGATAGCAGACTGAAGCCCCCTCGAGGGCTATCTGGTTTGGAAAGGGGTCTCCTTTCTGACTTGGGTCCAGAAAGGACTGGGCCTGACTCAACTGAAGGTACTAGTGTTTCTCAATGCCTCCTCCTCATCCCCACACAAAAAAGATTGTCTGGCCAGCTCATGATGTCACAGCGAAGAAGGCAGGGCTGGGGAGGGTGCTTTAACTGGACAACTAGGAAATACCTGTAGGAGGAGGTGACAAGCAAGCTGGGTTTTGAAGGATGTATGGGAGTTTGCCAAACAGACAAGGAAGGCATGGAAACCTTTTTGAGAGCAGAGACTTGCCTGCTTTCCCCACTATTTTGTGTTCTTAGTGCCCAGCATGGTGCAGTAAATTTGTAAAGGCTAGGACACGTAAAATCCTATGGGGTGGTAGGAGCCAAGTGTCAGGCTGGGTACATGGACAGAAGCCTACATGAGAAGTCATTGCTCTCGTGTGGTCCCTGTCCCTGAAACACTTTACGATTTGCATGCATCACAACTGCAGTTCATCCCATCTGAAGGCCCTCAGGTTAGGGGGAAGATGTCAGGGCTGGGGGCCTGAACTCCCTGGGGTCTGGCTCCAGCTGTGGCTGGCTGGAGCTTCCCCATGACAACCAGCCCTCTTCCTTCTGCACTTGGGAGCCTGTCAGATGGGTGGGAGGGTCCCAAAGAGGAAGATGAAGATGTTCTGCTATAGCTTTGGTTTTGGCTGTGAGAAGGTACAAGTGAAGCCAAGAGTACCAGGCTGGGCACCTACCCTTGAACTCCACTGGGTGCACTGGGATCAAGCTGACCTTGCCTGTTAGTGAAGATGGTGATCTTTTCTGCAGAGATCACCCACCTGGGTCTTGTCATGGGTCTAGAACAGACCCATGTCACCTTTACTGCTTGTTGGGCCACTGACTTCTAGTGTCCCTCCTCCCACCAGAGCGTCTGCTACTTTCCTAAGTATTGGGCACCTCACGACATGGTCCTGAGCCTCTTCCTTCATCTGCACCCCCTTCCTGGGGGCAAGAGGAGTTCCCATTCATCCTCATGGATTTGAACATCAATCCCATACTGACAGGTCCTGCTCCAACCCCACCCACTCCCACCTGGAGCTCCAGCCCTGAGTAGATCCTGCCTCCTCCATATGCCCATGGGGACATCTGAGAGGCCTCCTATTTGTCGTTTGATACTTAGCCTAACTCCTGCTTGGAAATCAGCCATCTGGATCTGGTTCCTCAGACTACAACTCAGAGAGGTTCAATGACAAGGGCAAATTGAGGTTGCAGGTGGAATTAAAGTTGCCAATCAGCTGAACTTGAAGTGGGGGCCATCCTGGATCATCTGGGGGTCCAATGCCATCACAGGATCCTCATAAGAGGGAGGAAGGAGGGTCAGTGGAGAAACTGAGGGACACTGAGCGGCTACTATGAAGAGGGAGGAAGGGGCTGCAAGCTGAGGGATGCCGGGCTCTAGGAGCCTGGACAGGAGGAACATGATCCTCCTTGGAGCCTCCAGGAGAGAGCAGCACCTTGATTTTAGCCAGTAAGACCCATTTTGGACCCGTGGAACTGTCAGATCATAAAATTGTGTTGTTTAAAACCAAGTACGGCAACTTAAAAGAGCAGCCACGGAACAAAGCATCATAAATTTATTTACCTGATTTTGAATCTTATGCAAATAGTGGTTTTTGTTTTGGTTTGGTTTTTATTCATTTATTCATATGTGCATACATTGTCTGGGCCAGCAAATAGTGTTTTAAAGTGTGTGTTTTTTTTACTGTGGTTCTGCACCTTTCATTTGTGGGAGGGAGGTGCTGCGACAGAACCCAGAGTCTCCTGTACACTAGGCAAGAGCTCTACCACAGAGTCACAATCCCAGCTCTAGGCATTTTCATTTTGTTATTCTTTTATTTTTGCTGTTGGAAATTTGTTTTTTACCTGCAAATAAAAATTGTGTACATTAGCTGGGTGTGATGGTGCACACCTGTAATCTGCAGAGGCAGAAGAACCCATGAGTTTGAGAACAACCTAGGGTACATAGTGAGTTCCAGGACAGTCTGAGCTACATAAGGAAGACCCTGCCTCAAAATAAATGAATAAATAAAAACAAGAAAGATTGGCTTACCCAGGTACGTGGATTTGTTGAGAGTTAGCAGCCACGCACTGAAGATGCATGCATTCCACTCCAATACATTCTGTCTTGAAAGAAAACAAATCCCAGTAAATGATCTGTGTGCTGAAATGTTAAGAGGCCATGTGTCTTGATATCCACTGCTTACTTTGAAATGCATCCATAAAAATAAGATGGACTGATGGATGGGTAGATGGAGGGATAGCTAGGCAGATGTGTGATGAAGTAAACAAGAAAATGTGAAGGACAGGATCAAGTGGTGGGTAGCAGGTATTCACTGTAAAATTCTTTCAACTGTGCTATAGATTTTATATTTTTTTCATCATAAAATGTTGGGGGATACTTTGTCCCCACTCCCTGCATGTTCTGCCATATACACCCCCTCATCACCTGTTCCAGACACCTCCCTGCTGGCCCTCCAACACTCTGAGTTCTGTCCTGCCCTAGGACCTTTGTATCTGCTGCTAAGGTTCTGAAAAGTCTCTCCTTCAGCCCCCTCCCACTTCAGCACAAAACTCTTCATCTTGAATCTCAACTCAGATGGTGTCACCTCTGAGAGGTCTTCCTTTATCAGCACATTTAAAATCATGCCACCCTGTGTGTTTTTTACCATGATAGTCTGGGATCTATTAATGAATCAGCTTACTTGTCTTTGGCTGTTCTCCATTCAGAGATGTGAGTTTCACAGAGCAGGAATATATCTGCTTTGTTCCCCTGCTGTGTCCCTAATGCTCAGCCCCAACCTCGTACATACAGTACAAGTCAACCCAAGAACATCTGTTGCCTGGATGGATGGATGATGGATAGGTGGATGATGGATGGGTAGATGGATGGATGAATGGACAGATGTTTGGATAGGTAGATGGATGTACAATGGGTAGATGGAAGATGGATGGATGGGTGAATGGATGGATGAACAAATGTTTGGATGGGTACATGGACAGATAATGGATGATGGGTGGGTGGGTGATGGGTAGGTGGATGGATAAATGGATGATGGATGGGTAGATGAACAGATGGACAAATGGACAGATGAATGAATGTACAAACTCTCCAGCTGGGAACTAGTCTCATCTAGGAACTGGGCTCAAGATCTCAGGAAGATAATTGCTGTTTGAATTCCTCAAGCAGACTGGGCCCCTGGGCAGGAGCTGCTCCCCAGGCTGTTGATGGAACATGGCCAACCGTGACCACTGTGCCACCATCTGGCAACGCTAGATATGCAGTGGGCTCTCTTATCCAACTGCAGTCCAGCCCCTGGGATGGCAAGCAACACCCTAAGGGACATTCCTAAGTGTGGCCTGGAGGGAACTGTGGCTCTCCTTTAATCCTTCATCTTTGACCCACACTGGAAGCAGCTTCCTGCAGTGGAAGGAAATCTTCCTGACATTTGAGGACTCAAGTTCATGACCCCAAGTGGCCAGTCTTCTGGCCACCATTTTGGCATCTGAAAAGTCTAAAATAATGTCTGTTATGAATTGCTGTATGGTCATTGCTCTTGTTAAAGGGCAATAGGCTAAGCACTTTCTGTGTCTTATCAGGCTGGGCTGAGACGTGGGTATCATTGCCCATTTTATGAACAAACTTGAAGTTCAGAGAGGTTAAGTCATTTGCCTGAGGACACACAGCCCACGTCTGTTTTCAACACTGGCCATAACGAACTCTGCCAGGCAACGGGGTTGGGGGTGTGAAGGTGGGGTGCTGGTGAAAGCCCTGACCTTCTGGGGCTAGACAGCAGCTGACTGACCTGGGAGGAGGGGTCCGTCCACCTTCCAGCCCCGCCCCTGTGCTAATGCACAGTTGCCTAGCAGAGCTGCTGGAGGCACGGGTTCTCAGTGCCCCACCACCCTGCTTGCAGAGCTCTACTTAACTGGCACGTGTGTCCACAGCATGTTGTCCAGCTTCAACGAGTGGCTGTTTCAGCACAAATTCTGGTTACCGCCCAACAGCACGTGGGCCCAGCTGGAGGACCATGATGGCCTGGTCTTCGCCCACCCTCGGCACATGCTGGCGGCCCTGCCCCTGGCGCTGGTCCTGGTGGCGGTGCGCATCACCTTCGAGAGGTGAGTGTCCGAGGGGCTGCGCGAATCCCACCACCGCGCATGCGCATCGCGCTAGCGTTTCTGCCTGAGCACGGTGGCTGCCAGAGGCGCTCACTTCCTTCTGATCCCAGATGGCTGGCTTATGGCAGCACGGGCCACAGCTCAGGTCTGGTTATGCCACCATCTTTATATAACAGGAGTGCAGACCCTGAATTTGCTAAGCACGGGCCTGCAGAGGCCAGATGCTGTTGGTAAGTAAACACCTGCCCAAGCCACATGGCCTCGTTCGTCTCCAACCCCTTTGGGCTCTTTTTATTCTTCTTCTTTTTTTTTTTTTTGGTGGGACTGGAGTTTGAACTCAGGGCTTCGAACTTGCAAAGCAGGCGCTCTATCATTTGAGCCAGACCTCCCACTCCTCCAGCTGTTACACAGACCAGACTGACTTTGCAGTTACAATCCTCCTGCCTCAGCCTCCTAAGTGCTGGAATGACAGGCGTGCCACACAGCAGCCCTCCTGGCCCCATCTAACACCTTCCCTTACTAATGTCCCTCATTCACCCCAACCTCTTGCAGCCCTGTGCCCATTCTCCAGGCATGTGCCACCTGCTCAGGTTCCAGTGACCTGTCTGCCAAACCCCATGAATTTTCTATTTCTTTCCTTCCTTCCTTCCTTCCTTTGGTGCTGGGGCTTGAACTCAGGGCTTACACTTTTTTTGTGTTGCCCTTTTTAGTGTTGAGTTTTTTCAAGATAGGGTCTTGCAAACTATTTGCCTGGGCTGGCTTCGAAATGAAATCCTCCTGATCTCTGCCTCCTGAGTAGCTAGGATTACAGGTGTGAGTCACTGGCTCCCCCATGAATTTTCAGTCATTTCCCACATTCTTCCTGAGCATCCATCTACTGGCAAGATTCTTTCCTCTCACACCCTTGGCATCTCTGCCAGGGCCCTATCCCATATTGATCAGTGCTGTGGTCACCCACACTGGCCCTACCAGGCCCTGGCCTGAAAGTCCCCCACTACCCTCAGCTGTCCTCCCCCCTCAGCCTTCTCTGCTCCTCACTCACACCCACTCTCTGTCCTGCCACATTCTTTGTGGCCCCCTGGCCTTTGCACAGGCTTCTCTGTGATTCTTTTATTACTGGATTCCAAGAAGACCTGCCCCTCCCTAAGGCCAGAGCCCTCAGCCTGCCTCAGGGGGCCCCCCCTCTTTAAATCCCTCCCTCTGCCCTAGCCCCGACCTCAAAGCCATGGGAGTGTCATGCATCTTGCTTTGTGGGCCTTCTTGAATTCTGTGTTCCCTGGACACACACAGCCCATAAAGGACTCAAGGATCTTTCACTGAAGTTTATTTATTTAACAGACTCTTGAGGGCTCTCAGCCACTTTTATATCTTTGTTTTGATTTGTTTTTGCAGTAGTGGGGTTTGAACTCAGGGCCTCACTCTTGCTAGACAAGCACTCTACCGCTTGAGCCATGCTGTCGGCTCTCAGTTATTTATGTCTTAACTCACTTAATCCTCATCAGTGCTGCATGAGATGGTACTATTATCATGCACATTATACAAAAGAGGAATTGGAAGCACAGAGAGATCCTAGTGACCTGCCTAAGGACACACAGCAAGTAGACCAGGTGGGCTTGAAGCTTTGCTTTAAGGATTCTGAGAGGCTCAATTCAGCCATACCTTGAAAGGAGGGAAGTCTCTGCCTTCGCACAGGAGTAGGGGAGAATAGGGATGAGAGGAGTGACTTCGGCACTGTGCCCAGGTCCACTGCTGGAGCCCAGAAGGGCCTTAGGCCAGGTATAGTACCACATGCTGTAATCTCAGCACTCAGGAGACAGAGGCAGGATTGTGAGTTTGAGGCCAGCCTGGGCTACAAAGCAAGTTCAAACCCTGCCTAAGCTCCTGTCTCAACCCCTACCCCCTTAAAAATAAATAAACCCAAGATAAATTAAGTGATGACCTTGTCCGAGATACCCCTGGCCTCTGTGAAGGACTGTAAGATTGGGGGAAGTATTTCCAGTTTGCAAAGACAGGAGTTTTAGCTGCTAAAAAAGTAGACCCTTAGGGCTGGGTCTGGTGGCACACTCTTGAAATCCTAGCACTCAGGAGACTGAGGCAGGAGGATCATGAATTGAAGGCCGCTCTGGGCTACATAGTGAGACCGTGTCTTAAAAAAAAAAAAAAGATATCAGGGTTAAGTAAGCAAAGCATAACAAGGACTTGACCCATGCTTAGCAGATAGTAAGTGCTCTGTAAATGTCATTCCCCTCTGTCCACCATCACAGCTAACTAAGTTCTTTGCTAATTGCCAGTCCTGGTGTATCCCCTGGGGAGGAGGGAGGGTGTGTGTGTGGAAGAGAGGCCAGGCCCTGCTTCTGCCCCTTGTGACCCTTAGCCTGGTGGAAGGAGACCAGGACTCAGGCCAACATTAGACAGCCAGTGAGGGGCCTCTCATCCCTGCTTTGGGATGGACAATGTAACTGGGCACCATATGCATTGACCTGTATCCCTCATTTTCAAGACCAGTGAAGCTGCCTTTCTCATGTTTGGCTTAATGCAGAAGCCAGGCTACTCCTCCAAGGCCCCCAGGCATGAGACCAGATGAAGCAATACAAAGTTCTGAGTCCTGACTAGACATAGTGGCTCATGTCTATAATCCCAGCTACTGGGGAGGCAAAGATGGGAAGAATTGGGGTTCAAGGCCAGCCAAGGCAAAGAAGTTAGTGAGACCCCCATCTCAACCAACTAGCTGTGTGTGGTGATTCATATCTGTGATCCCAGCTATACATGGATGCTACTGTAGGTAGGATGATCGTGGTCCAGGGCAGCCCTGGAAAAAATCTGAGACCCTACCTGAAAAATAACTAAAGCAAAGAGGGTCTAGGGGGCGGCTCAAGTAGTAGAGCGCCTGCAAACAGGGTTTTTGACTCTGGGTGTCTGCACCCTCTAGCCAGATAAGAAGAAAGATGCTGTTGTACACCAGCTCTGCCCTGTGTGCTGATACCTCGGTTCCTCCAAATTTGTTCCTCCACCTCCAAAAATATTTCCCCACTGCCATTTCATTCTCATTTGGGCCCTAATGGGCTTTGTCTCCCCTGCACCCAGATTCGTGGCCTTGCCCCTGAGCCGGTGGCTGGGTGTACGGGATCAGATGAGGAGGCAGGTGAAGCCCAACGCCACGCTGGAGAAATACTTCCTCACTACCGGGCGTACACCCAAGGAGGTGAGAGCCCTCATTTCCACATGGCCGGCAGGACTGCCCTGTGGACAGAACATGGGGTGATATGTGGTCTGCTTGTTGGGAGCGGGGAAGTTAAAGTGTCCCTTGGCACCCCCACAAATGCCCCAACCTGCACTCCACCTGGATCCCCAACCTCCCTTGGAAGTGAGGCCCCGCCCCTCTCTCAGGCTCCCAGGGAAGTGAGACGGGGCCCTGCCCAGACCCATTCTGCCCTGAGGCCACGCCCCCCAAGCGCCCTGGGCTGCGAGGCCCCTCCCCTATCAGCCTTTGTGGTGATGAGGCCCTGCCCAGTCACACTTTCCTAGGATACAAGCCTTGTTAGGCTTGCTAGGCAGGCACTCTACCACCTGAGCCACTCCTTCCACCCCGGTTTGTACCAGAGTTTTTCGAGATAGGGGCTCTCAAAGCATTTGCCTCTGGCTGACTTCGAACCACCATCCTCCTGACCTCTACCTCCTGAGTAGCCTGGATTATGGGTGTGAGTCAGCGGCCAGCACCTGACCCCAGCCTCATTCTTAATGCCAATCTCCACCAGTGACCTGTCTTCCCAATGAGCAGGGCTTGGGCCTCATAAGGCCCAGATGTTCTGGCAGTCTCTCCCCTTCCCACTCTTCTTAGTTAGCAGGGACTGCAGAGGCTGCAGGGGAGGTTGAAGCAGAGCCCAGTCCTCTCCAGGGACAAGGGTGGGAAGCCACCACTGGACCTCTGTGACCTTACCCTCCTCACCCCCTCCCCAGTCCCAGATGGCCATCCTGGCAGCCCAGTGTGGCCTCACATTGCGGCAGACTCAGCGGTGGTTCCGGAGACGACGGAACCAGGATCGGCCATGCCTATCCAAGAAGTTCTGTGAGGCCAGGTAATACTGGGGAGGGGACAGCGGAGGGGTTGGTCTGCTGTTAGGCAGCTACCTGCCTCATGGCTTCCTCCCCATCTGCAGCTGGAAGTTTGTCTTCTACCTGTGTTCCTTCTTCGGTGGCATCTCCGTTCTGTACCATGTGAGTATACCTGACTGCACACCTGCCCCACAGACACCCCAGGTGCTTTTGAGAGGCTACCAGGAACTGGCAGTGAACAAGCCCTCAGTGGGAAGTGAAACAGAGATGCAAACAGGAAGGAAAAAGCAGGATTGAGGGGAAAGCCCTTAGGAAACCCCACATCCAGGTGGGGGGGTGGGGGTGGGGGGGTGGCTTCTGACCTTTGACACCCGTTTCCCCACAGGAGCCCTGGCTGTGGATCCCAGCAAAATGTTGGGAAAATTACCCAATCCAGGTGAGTGACAAGGTGTGGGCAGTTCTTGTGGCCACAGTCACAAGAGCCAAACCAGACATCTCAGCCTAAATTCGCCTGATTTTGACTCCTCTGTGGAATAAGGAGGAGGAAATGCAGGGCAGGAGCTGCCACAAGACCAATGCGCTTGATTACTTCCAGGGATGGGGAGCTTACCCCATCCTCACTCACTGGGATTCAAGTGTCCCGGTTTTGAGCAAATCTGGAAGGTCCTGAGCCGTGTCCCTGCCCTAGCTAACCTTGCCTCCTTGCCATAGACCCTGCAGCCCTCCCTGTACTGGTGGTACCTTCTGGAACTGAGTTTCTACATCTCTCTGCTCATCACACTGCCCTTTGACATCAAGCGCAAGGTGAGGCCAAGCCAAGAGCCCAGCTGGGGGAGTGGACACCATGGGGGAGCTGGGTGATGTCCCCCCTGCCACCCAGGCTGGCTGTGGCGATGACCCACCATCTCCCACAGGATTTCAAGGAGCAGGTGATCCATCACCTCGTGACCGTTACCCTGATCGGCTTCTCCTACAGTTGCAACCTGCTGCGCATCGGCTGTCTGGTGCTGCTGTTACACGACTCTGCTGACTACCTGCTGGAGGTGGGCCGGCCCCTGCCGACCGTCCTTCCCTGCCTTCCCAGGTGCCCCTGGGGATGAGTCCCACCCCTCCTAGCCTACTGGACTGTAAGGCCCCGCCCCTCCCAGCCCTTCCTGGGACATGAGGCCCCACCTCTGTTAGCCTTTCCTGGGATGTGGGAACCTTCCCCTGAAAGATGAGCTTTCCCCCAACCCTCGCCTAGCCTCCTTGGGAGGAGACACACAGACACACACACACCTTTCTAGGCATTTCTGGAGATAAGGCCTCACCCCAGTTTACTTGGTCCCACCCCACAGTGCCTTTTCCGTAAGTGGCCTGGCTCCTCCACTCCCCACCCCCAGTCCTAAGCCCGGTTCTCTCTCCTGCTCTCCCCAGGTCGGTAAGATGTTCAACTACGCAGGCTTGGGGCTAGCGTGCGATGTTGTCTTCTTGGTCTTCTCCCTAGTCTTCTTCTACACCCGCCTCATACTCTTCCCCACCCAGTAAGTCGGCCCTCCCATGGGGATTAGGAAGGTGGGAGGTCATGTCTTAGACCCCGAGGAGCTGAAAGTGTTGATAGACAATTCTTCCAGAAGGCAGGGAAGGGTGTGCCTGGCACAGGGTACAGCCTTTGCAAAAGTCCACAGTAAGAGAGACAGAGAACTGGGCTCAGTCATTCCTGTTGTGCCCGTGGAACATGAAGCAGGAGGAGAAGGAGTAAAGAAAATCTGCTCTCTAAAGTCATTGTCTAGTAAATATTTGAGCCTCTCGAATGTGTCAGGTGGCGGGGACATAGCAGAGGGAACAGTGCAGATCTACCTGTCCTCGTGGAGCTGATGTGACGTGAGTGGGAACAAGGGTATAACGGGCAAGCAAGCAAAATACAGAGCATGTGAGGGAGTGGTACTGCTGAAGAGAAAGTAAAGACAGGAAGGGTGCAGCAAGCGTGTGTGTAGACTGTTGGAATTAGAGGGGAAGATCAAGGACACCCCACTGACAGGACTTGTATAGAAAGAAGGGGGGGAGATGGGGGAGAGAACCACACTGATCATAGAAGAGCATGGGTCCAGGGTGAGGGAATGGCATGTACAAAGGCCCTGAGGCTAGATTATGCCCCAAATACTGGAAAAACCATAAGGATCTCCCTGTGGCTAGAGCAGAGGCAGTGAGGGGGGAGGTGGACAGCAGACAGGAGGTGAGGACAGGGACATGACCAAGGCAAGTACTATGGGCTGCAGAGAGGACTTAGGCTTTTACCTTGGAGCCATGGAGGGCTGTGGACAGAGAAAAGGGGACAGACTCAGTTGCTCTCAGTTTCCCTCTGGTGGTTGCAGAGAGAACAGTTGGTAGGAAACAGGCAGGGGGACAGGCGCAGTGGCCAGGTGCAGGTGTGAAAAGTAGATGGACTCAAGGAGATGCCACGAGGGTCATGGAGGGAACAAGCCGGGGGAGGAGTTCCGTGAGGCATTAGCAGCCCAGCTGTTCTGTGCTGATCTTGAAGGTCTGTGGCCCCCTTAGGAGACAAAGGGCACATCAGTCTGGCAGTCTGTGTACGCAGGAGAGAGGTACACGGGGAGTCACTAGCCCATGGCAGATGTTGGAGCCTGGATAGGGGATCAGGTGTGAACAGAGAGTCCCAGTGTTGGGGATCCTTTTGCAGAAGGAGGAGAAGCCTGGAGAGAGGACTGGTGGAGCAGTTAGAAGATGGGGAGATGGGATGTGGGGGTCCCTGAAGGCACAGGATGATACAGCATTGCTGTAGAGGGTGCTTTCAAGGAGTCAAGGGAAAAGACATGAAGTGATAGCCAGAGAGGCAAAGAAGAGTGAGCATGGGAGAAGGCAGGAGGATCATAAGTGAGCAAGGGGGTGGGGGGAACGGACAATGACCACGACTCAAGAGTGAGTGTTTTGGTTTTGGTGTTTCTTTCTTGCACGTGAAATAACAGCAAAGTTGTCATTAATAGTAGAGCCAACAAGGAAGGGCTCCTGAAGGAAACAGGAACTGTGGAAGAGAGGGGGGTGGCCCAGCTAAGGTCAAAGACAGTGTGTCCAGGGCAATGGGCAGGATTGTGGAGTTGTGGGGGCGGGGCACTCGGGAACATTCTGGCTTTCGGTGCTCTGTGAGATGAGTAGGCAGGTCACATGAAGGTAGGAAGAGATGCTAGGGGTCTGAAGAGAGACGAGGAGGCAAGAAAGGTCCACCCAGAGGGCACCGGGATTTTAAGCACCTGGGGTTCATAGTCAAGAAAGGCCGGCCAACAAGTTGTGTGCTGTACTGATTTAGTGTAAGCAGATAAAACGGGGGTGGGGGGAGGAATTGAGTGTTGCACTGAAGATCATAGATACCATCTAGGGGACACCAGGGAACCAGAGCAGAGGCCATGCAAGTTAGAGATTCCTAGGACTGAAAGCTACAGCCACTGACGAAACCCCTTCATTCCTCCTGCTCCTGTAGGATCATCTACACCACGATCTATGACTCCATTGCGAATTCCAGCCCCTTCTTTGGCTACTATTTCTTCAATATGCTTCTGATGCTGCTGCAGGTGTTACACGTGTACTGGTTCTGCCTCATCCTGCGCATGCTCTACAGCTTCTTGAAGAAGGGTCAGGTATGGCTGGGCCAAGAGTTAGCTCACGTGTGCCTCTAGGGAGCCCCCAGCCCAGCCCTGCTTCAAGCTCAACTCCGCCCCTCTCTGAGCCCCTCCCTCCCCTGAGCGCTATACCGCTTTGAGCTCCTCCCCCTCCAAACCTCCCCCCCCCAGTTCCGCCCACTCTGAACTCCGCCCCCGTCTGTTTCCCCAGCTGGGGAAGGACATTCGCAGCGATGCGGAGGAATCTGAGTCTAGCGATGGCGAGGTGGCTTCCGAAGTTCCACAGCTGAAGAACGGGGTGGCTCGAGGGCCTGCAGCTGTCCCCGCTAATGGCCCTCGGAGCCGGGCAGCCAGACGGCTGGCCAACGGGCACGTTCCAGCCACATAACCAGCTGAAGACTGGCCATGAGGGCTGCCCCCAGCGCCTTGGATATTTGTGGGTGGCTGGACTGGCGACCCTTGGGCCAGCTTGGAGGAGATAGGGAAGCCCGACCCTGGAGTGGGCGGAAGGGCTGATGATCTGTCTCTAGGAGTGGGCGGAAGGGCTGATGATCTGTCTCTAGCCCCTTTCTTCTCCCTCCATCCCTCTGGGCAAATGGACAGAGCCAGGAGCCACTGCAGGGCACTACAGCTGGCCAGTGCCACCTCCTTGAGCTCCTCCCCTCCAACCTCCCCCCCCAGTTCCGCCACTCTGAACTCCGCCCCCGTCTGTTTCCCCAGCTGGGAGGACATTCGCACGAGCGGAGGAATCTGAGTCTAGCGATGCGAGGTGGCTTCCGAAGTTCCACAGCTGAGAACGGGGTGCTCGAGGGCCTGCAGCTGTCCCCGCTAATTGGCCGGAGCGGGCGCCAGACGGCTGCCAACGGCAGTTCCAAGCCACATAACCAGCTGAAGACTGGCCATGAGGGCTGCCCCCAGCGCCTTGGATATTTGTGGGTGGCTGGACTGGCGACCCTTGGGCCAGCTTGGAGGAGATAGGGAAGCCCGACCCTGGAGTGGGCGGAAGGGCTGATGATCTGTCTCTAGCCCCTTTCTTCTCCCTCCATCCCTCTGGGCAAATGGACAGAGCCAGGAGCCACTGCAGGGCACTACAGCTGGCCAGTGCCACCTCCAGGTCTCAGCCTGGGGGCTGTGGGGAGCCCTAGCCCAAAGGCCCAATAAAGCTTGAACGGAGCTGAATTCTATGCCTGAGAATTTGGGTCTCTGTCACAGCTCCTTCTCCTTCCCCAGAGACCCCCCGAGGGAGCCAGGATTTATCTATTTACACATGCCACTGACTGGATACTCACTGCTACCCCACGACATTTGCCTACTCCCAGGGGTCCCAGACAGCAACAAGGCATGGAGACCCCTGCTGCCCCCAGGTGAGGCCTTGACCCCACACCCACCCCAGCCTGCACCCTGAACAAGCACTTCCTTGTGGTCCAGTGCAGCCCTTGGCCAGCAGTTCACAGACTAGGCTTGCAGGCAAGAAGGTACTAAGCACAGAAAGGACAAAACCTTTGCCCAAGGTCATACAGCAGTCAGGAGCCAAGCAGGAAGGTCAAAGGGAGGCACACACCCGTCCCTGTAGCCCCTACTCAAAAGTGCCCACAATGCCACCCTTGTGGTCCCTTGTAGAATTTCTGGGGTCTGCAGAGGAGGCTCAGGAGTGAGGTAAATCCCATAGGCTTCTCAGTGGAAGCTTTCCTGAGGTCACCATCTCCTCAGTAGCTCCACAGAAAAGGGATTCCCTCCAAGATGGACACTAGGGGACAGTGTCACATACTCCAGCAATCACAGCCACAAGATTCATGTATGTATGGCCAGACCATATTGCCCTCAAGGGTACAAGTACCCAAGGGGAGCCAAAAATCATGGAAGAGAGAGAAGCAAGAGATGACAGAGGGCAAAGGGACACTGCTGGGGGCACCAGAGAAGAAATGCATTAGAGACAGGATGGTTGTTCAGCGAGAAACTGTAAAGAAATAAAGGGAGGGATAACATCTGAGAGAGAAGCAAGGGAAGAAAGAGGGTCAAGACTGGGCTGAGGGGGACAGTGAGATGGGTACAGGTCTCATCTGTGCTTCTCAGCAAAGAGAAGAGATGGGTGAGAGGAGGGAGCCCCAACTGTGTCTCCACTAACAGACACTAAGGCAGGGGGAAACAAGGTAACAAGATCCAAAGAATGCACTTGGGGGTGCAGGAAAGAGGAACCAGGAAGACAAGAAAGAAGCAGCAGAGAGGAGAAAGAAGAGTTGCAGATGGCACAGAAATGAAAAACAAGCAAAAACAAGAAGGGGAGTGCAAGAAGAAAGAAAAGGGGTGTTGGGGAGAAAATGGAGACACAGAAGAGGAAGAAGTATGGGAGAAAAACTCAAGAGAGGATGGAAAGACCAGAAGAGACTGAGGAGAAAAATAAGAAAAAAATCAAAGAAGGAAGGACTGATTAAATATGGATGTGAATGAGCAAAGGATCAGGAAGTGAAAGAAAAGCGTATCCTAGCAGGTAACCAGTGACTCAGGCCTGTAATCCTAGCTACATGGGAAACTGAGTTCAGGAGGATCACGGTTCAAGGCTAGCCCTGGCAAATAGTCCCCAAGCCCCATCTCCCAAATAATCAGAGCAAATACTGGACTAGAGGTGTGCCTCAAGCAGTAGAGCACCTGCTTTGCAAGCATGAAGCCCTGAGTTCAAACACTAGTTCCACAGAAAGAAAGAAAGTAGGAAAGAAAGAAAGAAAAGCAGATCCTGAGAGGAGGAGGAATGAAAAGCTGAAAGGATGGACCACAGAAGAAACTGTGCATGAGCCATGATGTCAGGCCTCTTGCAAAATCAACAAGGTGTACATGGAAATGACAGGTACTGGCAAAGGTTGAGCATCCTTCATCCAAAAATCCAAAATCTCAATTTGAGCCATGACATTATGGGAACCAGTTGCAGTCAAAAGGCAGGCCTGTGTGGGGCACCGGTGGCTCACACCTGTAATCCTAGCTACTCAGGAAGCAGAGATCAGGAGGATCTCAGTTCAAAACCAGCCTGGGCAAATAGTTTGCAAGACCCTGTCTTGAAAAAACCTTCACAAAAAAATGGCTGGTGGAGTGGCTCAAGGTTTAGGCCCTGAGTTCAAATTCCAGTACCGCCCAAAAAAAAAAAAAAAAAACCACAAGCTTCAAAAATACTCAGTACAGTGACCTTCAGAGTATGTCTATAAGGTGTACGTGAAACTGAGAGGAATTTCATGTTTAGATGCAGGTCCCTTCCATACAAGATATCTCTTTATGCATATATAAATATCCCCAAATTCAAAAAGATCAAAATATGAACCAAGCATTTTTGCCCTGTACTTGCAAAAATGCAAGGTGACAGTGCCCTTGGTGAGATCTGCAGGAATGTGGACCTGCTAACCGCAGGGGAATTCCACAACTGGCTAAAATTCAAATGCATTTCTGCCCAGGGCTGGGGGCGTGGCTTGAGTGGTACAGCACCTGCTTAGCAAGCCAGAGGCCCTGAGTTCATACCCCGGTACTGCCCCCCAAAAATGTAAAAACAAGTGCATCTCCTCTTATCTCTAAACATACATCTGGATACTAACGTAGTGAGCATATTAGTAATACATCAGTGTTTCCAATACTTCCGCAACAATAAGAAAAGGACAACGAAGGGCCCATCCTGGCAGCACACACCTGTAATCCCAGCATGCAGGAAGCTGAGGCAGGAGGATCATAAATTCAAGGCCAGCTGGGCTTGAAACAACCAGCCCAAAAAAAAAAAAAATATATATATATATAAGAACACACAATAGACAGATACAGAAGAGGAAGCCATTAGAACCATTAAGCTTATAAAAACACACTCAGCCTCATGAATAATGAGGGAAATGGGCTGGGTGCTGGTGGCTCATGCCTGTCATCCTAGCACTCTGGAGGCAGAGATCAGGAGGATCAGGAGGATCGCAGTTCGAAGCCAGCCCAGGCAAATAGTTCACAAGGCCCTATCTTGAAAACAAACAAACAACAAAAAAAAGGGCTGGCAGAGTAGCTCAAGTGGTAGAACGCCTGCTTAGTCAAACATGAGGCCCTGAGTTCAAACCCCAGTATCACCCAAAAAAAAAAAAAAAAAGCGTTGGTGAGGATGTGCTGGTGGGAATTAAAATGAGTTAACTACTGTGGAACACAGCTTGGTGTTTTCTAAAAAAATTAACTGTGAAATTAGTATATGATCCAGCAATTCCTAGATATATACCCAAAAGAATTGAAAGCAGGAATTCAAATACTTGGACATGAGTGTGGTCACAATAACCATGAGATAGAAAAATCCCAAAGGTCCACCAGTGAGTGAATTAGATAAGCAAATTGTTATGTCCACACAATGGAATAATATTCAGCCATAAAAAGAAAGTACTGACATGTGCTAAACATGAATAAACCTCAACAGCAGGGTCAGTAGAAGCAGCCAGTCACAGGTCACACATTTTTATGAGTCTATATGAAATACCCAGAGGAAATAAACTTATAAAAACAAAATGCAAATTTGTAGATGCCAAGTTCTGGGGAGTGAGGGAATGGGTGTAGGTGTTTAATGCGTACAGAGCTTTTCTTTTCTCTGGAATGTTTGGAACTAAAGTTTAGTTGTACAACATCCATAAGCACACTAAATGCCACTGAAATGTTCACTTTAACATGGTTGATTTTATGTTATGTGAATTTCAGTTTAATAAAAATGCATGAAAATGGGGTCTGCGTAAACCCATAATTAACAGTGTCTCATGAAACAGCATTATGATTGTTCAAATTCCATAGACCTGGTGTCCTCCATCCAGTCACCCTTGTTCCCCATATCCTATCTCACACACACACACACACACACACACACACACAAATCCTCTGGGTCAAAGAGAAATCGTAATGGACATTAGAAAAATGCATGTACTAGCTGGGTCAGTGGTGCACGCCTGTAATCCCAGCTACTCAGGAGGTAGAGATCAGGAGGATCGAGGTTCAAAGCCAGCCCCAGCAAATAGTTCATGAGCTCCTACCTTGAAAAAAACCCATCACAAAAAAGGGCTGGTGGAGTGGCTCAAGGTGTAGGCCCAGAGTTCAAGCTCCAGTACTGCAAAAAAAGAAAAAAGAAAGCAAATGATGCATGCACACATAAGTGAGTTACAAAAGTACTGCATGTCAGCACTTGTGGGATGCACCGCTAGAGACATGGCTCAGGTGGAGCACCTACCTGGAGGCCCTGAGTTCAGACTCCAGTAGTGCCAATTAATAATAATACTCGTGGGATGCAGCTTAAGAAGTCCTATAAGGGAAATTCATGAATATAAAATATATTTTATATTCTTGAATTTAAAATAAATATTTTGAATAAAATATTTTTTAAACGTTTTATTTTTTAAAGATAAAAATATCTAGCCAGGCACTGATGGTTCACACTAGGAACCCTAGCTACTTGGAAAGCTGAGATCAGGAGGATCAAGGTTCCAGGCCAGCCTGGGCAAAAAAAAGCAAGAATACTCAATACAAAAA